TTAGGATGTTCATTGTATAACGAAGGTCAAGATGTATGGATTAGTGCACTGGATCAAATAGAGAAATGCCTAGATTCAAAAATATTTGTTCCTCTCAAAATAAGTTATGATGGACTAAACAAGATGGAGAAAATGATTTTTCTTGATGTTGCATGCTTTCATAAGGGGAAGGGCAAGGAGCAAGTAATTCAAATACTGGACCATACCCGCAACATTTCCAGTCGTAAGGGCATACATGTTCTTGTTGAGAAATCTATGTTAACTATTGAGAAATTTCGTGATCCTCTTTCAATCGACATTGTGGAGATGCATGACTTGATGCAAGAAATGGCATGGGAAATTGTTGGTCAAGAGTCTAAAGAGCCTGGTGAACGCAGTCGGTTGTGGCTTCACAATGACATTTCTCATGTATTCATGAACAATACGGTAAGAAATTATGTAGAAACACCAGGTCAGGAATAAAATATTATTTCTTTTAATACGATATACGATATTGGACTTGAATCTGAAATTCACTAAATTTTCTTAATTTCTTAATTATTAGGGAACGGGAGCAATTGAAGCCATAGTCTTGCGTTTGCTCAAATCAGAAGAGGTGCACTGGAATTGTGAAGCCTTCTCTAATATGCATGGACTAAGGTTTATCGAATTTGATAATTTGATATTTTCATCATGCCCAAACTTTCTCCCTCATTCCTTAAGAAGTATCCATTGGAGTTGGTATCCTTCCAAGTTTCTCCCACCAAGTTTTCAACTGAATTCACTTACTGAACTTAGTCTACATCATGGAAAACTTGTTCGGCTTTGGGATGGAACAAAGGTAAGATTATTTAATATATCCCTTTATAAAATATTTTTGATTTTTTTTAATTATAATAAAGTTGAAGTTTCTCCAAGATTATAATTATTCTCCTACCATTTTCTATGTATACTATACAGGACTTCCCCAACCTGAAATATATGGATGTTAGTTACTCTGATAAATTAACCAGTACCCCAGATTTCACAGGTCTACCAAAGCTTGAGAAGTTGAACCTTGAGGGCTGTAGGAATTTAGTTGAGATCCACCCATCCATTGCAGTCCTCAAAAGGCTTAGAACTTTGGATTTCAGTAATTGTAAAAGTATTAAGAATCTCCCAAGTGAGGTAAAAATGGATTCTCTTGAATATTTTAGTCTTCGTGGCTGCTCAAAAGTGAAAAAGATTCCACAGTTTGCAAGACAAATGACAAAATTGTCAATGCTTTTTTTAGATGGAACTGCTATTGAGGAAATACCTTCATCAATTGAATGTCTGGTTGGCCTCATTGTACTGGATCTATGTGACTGCAAAAGTC